TATATATGAATATATAAAAAATATATCAAAATGCATGTGGGTACTCAAATGAAAGCTCTTGATGAGTGTAATGTCAAAATGAGCTTATATTTTTAAAAAAGCCAATAGTTAAAAAAGTACAGTGCAATTTAACAAAAATCATTATTTAATAATGCAAAGGTGCTAGTTGAAATTGTTTTTTAAAATCAGCTGTTAAAAAATTTTTTTACAATTCTAAAATTGATTTTTTAAAAATAAAAAAAAATTCTGCATTTAAAAATTGTAAAAATATAAATTCAATTTTTAAAAAGTAATTTATTTATTGAGTGTCTTTTTTTTTTATTGTCTATAATAAAAAAAAAAAATTACAAAAATTAACTTGTAATTTCTTTTTAAAATTTTTATTATTAAATAATTATTTAATAATATAAAAACAACAAAACATTTACAAGTGTCTTATATTTATTTAGTATAATAAAAATTTACTCACTTGATTATTAACAATTAACAATATTAATTATTTATTATCATTGAAATATTAATATCTATTACAGTTAATTTTTTCACATGTATTAAAGTATATTGTATATTTATTTATACATTTTTTTAGGTTAGGATCATGATAAATTCCGGTTGGAGATGAAAAACATTCTTAATTATTCTGCGCATGCGCAGAATTAAGACGCCTGCGCTTTCTTAAAAAAATTTGAAAAATTTAATTATTGTAAGTATCTATATTAAATTTTTTAATAATTAAAATTGATAAATTAATTTTAATAAACATTTTTTATTTAATATTTTAAATTAATTAATTTTATTAAAAAATAAGTTTTTTAAAAATCCCGCTTAAAAATAAATAAAATAAAAAATGAATAATAACAAAATAAATAATAATAATAATAATAAAAATAAATAAATATAACTGTCATCTGAATTTAGTTAAAAATTTCACCACCAGGCGTCGCAACACATCAATGTCCCTGAAATTGGAATAAACAGAAGTGTCGACACAAACTTGCACAAACTATCTTAATAACAAAAAGAAAAAAAGAGAAAGACTGAGGAAAAGGGCTTGGAGGGGTGAGTTAATTCATTGACAATTCCCACAGTCAGTTGGAGAGGAGAGCGGCAGGAAATTTATTCCAGTAACTAGCAACAAGTAACAAGCAACCTCCCAACTAAAACCGCAAAGACAACAGCTACACTAGCCACTAGCGTAGATGCATTTTCATCACACATGACACCTGTTGCTCCTCTCAAAATTAATTAAATAATTATTAATGGCGGGATCCTTGGAGATAAAAATCCTGCTGTCGAGGCACAAGTCCTCGCTGCTGCAAGAATTAAATTCGACGGACCTGCTGAGTGTGCTAGTGAAACGCGGAGTTATTACTGACGTTGACAAGGACGCGGTTGCCGGGAACCCGGAGCAGACCGTCAACGCGGACATCGATTTATTTATCGACATCATCGGCGCTAAGGGCTTTGATGCCTTCAGGGAATTTTGCTTCGCTCTTGAGGCAGAGTGTCCTCATGTCTTGACTGACCTCCTGGTGGATCAGCACAGCGTCACTGGTAAGTTTTTATTTTAATTTTTTATTTTGACAGTACTTAAAAATTTTTTTGTAAAAAAAATTTTTTTTTACAAAATTAATTATAAAAATTGCAATTAAAAATTTTATTTAAATTTTTAAATACAGAATTTTATTTAATTGTATTAAAATATTTTTTTTTTTTAATTTTTTGTAAAATAAATTTTTTTTTACAAAATTAATTATGAAAATTGCAATTAAAAATTTTATTTAAATTTTTAAATACAGAATTTTATTTAATTGTATTAAAATATTTTTTTTTTTTAATTTTTTGTAAAATAAATTTTTTTTTACAAAATTAATTATGAAAATTGCAATTAAAAATTTTATTTAAATTTTTAAATACAGAATTTTATTTAATTGTATTAAAATATTTTTTTTTTTTAATTTTTTGTAAAATAAATTTTTTTTTACAAAATTAATTATGAAAATTGCAATTAAAAATTTTATTTAAATTTTTAAATACAGAATTTTATTTAATTGTATTAAAATATTTTTTTTTTTTAATTTTTTGTAAAATAAATTTTTTTTTACAAAATTAATTATGAAAATTGCAATTAAAAATTTTATTTAAATTTTTAAATACAGAATTTTATTTAATTGTATTAAAATATTTTTTTTTTTTAATTTTTTGTAAAATAAATTTTTTTTTACAAAATTAATTATGAAAATTGCAATTAAAAATTTTATTTAAATTTTTAAATACAGAAATTTATTTAATTTACTAGAAAAAAATATAAAATGATTATATTTATTGATTCATACAAGTTAAATCTTAAAAAAAAAAATTTTGCCTTATTAATGACTTAAATTGCACTGTACTTTTTTAACTATCGATATTTTTAAAGATATAAGCTCATTTTGATGTAACACTCATCAAGAGCTTTCATTTGAGTACCCACATGCATTTTTGATATATTTTTCATATATACATATATATAATATATATAAATATATAAAATATATGAAAAATTGATGTGGGTACTCAAATGAAAGGTCTTGATGAGTGTAACATCAGGATGAGCTTATATCTTTAAAAATATTAATATTTCACAAGATACAGGGTAATTTTTTATTCATTAATATTTTTTTTTTTTTTTTTAGGTGAGTATCAACCAAATGAAAACAAGGAACCAAAAGAAGAAACAAAGAACGAGGAAAAAAATAGCAGGGAAAATTCATTAGTTATCGTTGAAGACGAAGATACCAAAAATCCGGATATTATTTACAATGATGAAGATAGTTCTAAAGATTGGTAAGTTTTTTTTTTTTAATATTTAATTTTGAAATAGAATTTTTTATAATTTATTTGTTAAAAAAATAGTTATAATATTTTTAGACAAATAAATTATTGTTAGAATTTTAGCCTTATATGTATTAAAGTAAATATTTGTATTTGGTAAAATCAGTTCGTCAAAGATTCATCTGTTTTTATTATACCAGCGTCTGACATTGAGTTTTATTGAAGCTCCGTAAGAGTTAGTACTGGAAAAACCGGAAATCGCGGAAACTAGTCGTTATAGAGTATATAGTTATTTTTAATACTTTGTATGCTTGATTTAACTTGTTTAAAGAGGTCGCTTTTATAGGAAAGTTTTTTTAAAAAGTAGATCGCTTTTTTTTTTTTTTTTTTTTTTTTTATAGAAATTCTAGTCTTTTTTTAGAAATTTAAATGGTTATTTTGGGATTTAATTTTCTTGGAAAAAATATTTTTATTTTTTAAGAACTTTAAATAGAAATTTCTAAATTAATTTAGTTAATTAATAATATTGATTTTATTATTAAGGAAAATTATAAGGGACATTTTATAGTGACTAGGACATTTGACTAGAATTTCATCAATTATATAGAATTGGCTGAAACTTATGCTACAGTAAAATTTATGTTATAATATAGAAGAATAACTAATTAACAAGATCCCTTTGTCAACAAACCGTCCATTACTTTTTAAGTTTCTCGTAATTATAATTTGACTAAGTGTGACTGGTGGGACTAACAACAAATCCTTTCCTCTTACCAAAGGTACACTTAAAGTCCAATTGTCAGCTCGAGCACTAAACTCAAAAAAAATACGTTCCCTCGAAAATAACAAAATTAATCCTACAACACATTGAATATTATGAAGAATTAGACTGATTACCGTACGTAGAAACAATTAAAAAAATTAGTTTTTATTGCGACTGGTGGGACAGGCATTTGTCACTGGTGGGACAAGTACTAAATCCCTTACATCAAGTTGTTTATTAAAAAGACTTTTATATTATTTCAACCTTACAACTAGGGGTATGCGAATAATTCGAACTTACGAATTATTCGTTTCGAATCGAATATTAATATTCGATTCAAAATTCGAATCGAATAATTTGAATTTTCAAATTATTCGAAATTCAACGAATAATTCGAA